TATATATATATATGTATCTATTTTGTCTCATTTAAGGGAAAAGTTAGGATTGCAAAATTTCATGAGGGATTTTAGCTGACACACAGGCTCTTGCTGTGTACCTTGTTTTATGTAGATCTGTGAGAACAAAACCATGAGACCATAAGGTGGGTGGGTGCCTTACTAATGGGCATAAGACACCCTTAGGTCAGGCTGGCATCTTGAAGGCTGATGTACATGGTCTGGAAACAGCTACCACAGGTGGGCCCCAAAAAGCGTGAGTATGTGACCATATCTATTAGACCTAGACAGTCTAACCCTAACTCACTCACAGAGTGAAATGCCTGGAAAGATTTTCCACAGAAACGGCAGCACAGGGGGGCTTGGTGTGTTTCAGGGCTTCCTGAACTTGTGGGCAATGATGAGGGATTTCTCAAAGAAAAAAAGAACAGAGTCAGGCTGGTTGGTGTATGCCTGTAATTCCAGCTCCTCAGGAACCTGAGGAAGGAGGATCACAAATTCAAGGATACCTGGGCAATCTAGTGAGACTGTCTTTAAAATAATAATAATTTTAGCCCGGGATTTAGCTCAGTGGTTCCAGTGCGTGCCTCACAAGTGCAAGGTCCTGAGTTCGTGCCTCACAAGTGCAAGGTCCTGAGTTCGATCCCTGGTACAAAAAAAAAAAAGTAGTATAAAATAATAATTTTTAAAAAGCAAGCCTCATGTGGTGGGACACGGCTGTAATCCCAGCACTTTTGGGAGGCTGAGGCAGGAGTGAGTTCAAGGCCAATCTGCACTACAAAGCAAGAAAGTTAAAAAAGGACTGAGGATTTATCTCAGTGGTAGAGTGCTTCCTTGGCATTTGTGAAGCCCTGGGTTCAATTCCCCCATACTGCAAAAAAAGAAAAAAAAAAGAGAGAGAAATATAGACAGCAATGCAGGATTTTTTTTTTTTTTACCAATGCAGGATTGTAAGTTCAAGCCCTCTTGTGCAATTTAGCAACTTAGCAAGACCCTGTCTCAAAATAAAAAAATAAAAAGGAATATCAGCAAAGGGTGAGCTCTGTGTGTTCTATGTGCATGTGTGTATGTTTACATATATTCTATTCACTGGACCCTGTGAAACTGGTCTTATTGTGGAATCCCACAATAAGGACAGGCCAGTGAGCTGTGAGATGTCCCCCAGGAGAAGCCACTGGCCTTGCCCCTTGCTGCAGGGAAAGCCACCTTCTGGGTGTAGAGCCACCAAGCTCACCTGCTCTGCCACACTGGCTGGAATCTCGTTGTCATCTGTTCTGCAGCTACCTACTGAGTGCCTGTGAACTACCAGGGCTGGACATAGGGACTAGTAGAAATCTATCCAGCCCATGCTCCTCCATTGCAGGATACAAAGGTTAACCCAGGAATCATCCAAACATACAAACACCATGAGTGTGAGGAAGAAAGGTCCTAGCTAAAATACATCTTGGTTTAGCCCAATATGCTGCCCTAAGAAGTAACACTGGGCAGAGCTCTGGAGATCCAGGAAGAGGGAACTAGGGGAAAGAGGTGGGGCACAGGAACTGTACCACACAGAGAACCAGGTGCAAAGGCCCTGGGGTCAGAGCAAGAGTCAGAGATTGAATCTGAGACCAAAGAAATGGAGAGGGGCTGGGATACTCAGGGCATTAAGGGGCCACAGAGGGGAGCTCTTCAGAGATCAGGACTCCAAAGTGGGGAGAGGGGGAAGTCACCAGCCAGAGCCATCTGTAAGATGGTTGTGTGGTGTCTGGAGGGAGAGACCCACCCATGGGCTGTTTGGGATCGCACCTCCCTCATCTCAGCTACCTGCCAAGGGCCCTTCCTTCAGGCCCCTGGCCACTTCAGCCCTTTGCCTGACCCTAGAATCCTTGGGGCCCCAACAATCTCATTAGTGTGGCGTCAGAGAGGAGCCTTAATCCACTCGCTGGCAACAGGATAAATGCCAGAGCCAGTGCCCTGCTAAGCCACATCCAACCACTGGCACCTGTGGCCCCCAAGACCCGTCCAGCGTCTGGTGAGTAGTGACCCACCCTGCTGCCTTTCCTGGCAACCACGCATCTCCCAATCCACCCAGGGTGGGGGAGCCCACAGGCCTCTACCACCTCGGCTAGGCTCTGGGGTCTTCAGGAGTCCAGCCACCGCCGTCCTCCAGGGGGGACACTGCCAACTGCCTCCTTCATGCCCCAGTATCAGAGGGTGTGCCACTGTCCCCAGGGCCAGCAGTGTGATGGTCTGGGAACCTCAGGTGACCAGGTGGCACCAGTTGTGGGATTTCCATAGCTACAATATCCAGTAGTTAGATCTCCATCAGGACACCAGCTTCCCACCAAGAGCCCATGACCCGGAGAGGAGGTCTGCCTCAGCCTACACTGCCAGGAAGCAGGGGGTGGGGCCCCTGGGGCTGAGCAGCCAGGACCACCAGGCTCCTGAGACTGGGCTCCTCCCAGCCTGGTGCCAGCCCCAAGGACAGAGGCTGCACCTCGGGGACAGAATGTGGGGCAGAAGGGGCCACCTGTCTTCATCTGGTTAGTCTCAGCCCCAGGGTTCCAGCAAACAGCTGATGGTCGCCCAAGGCTGGAGTCATTTAGGAGAAGGGACCCCAAAAGGTGTTCCCTGGGGAATCTAAGGCCAGGGACAGTGCCCCCCCCCACGTCATGTGTATGGCATCAGAATATTCTGGCAGTGTGTGCAGGACATTCTGTGTAGTCCCAGGGAGATTAGGAGTCTCTCTCTGGTCTAATAGGCTTAGAGGAAGCTGAGCTGCCCTTAGCCAAGGTCACCAGGGCTTAGGGCATCTGGAAGAGGCTGCAGGGAGGGGGGCAGTTACCCTCAGTGGTGCCTGCAAGGACAATGCCTCATGCAGAGCAGCCATGCCAGAGCCAGGAGGTGACACTGACTCAAAGCAGGCGCCAAGCGCAGTGACAGAGGGAGGACACCAGGAGCCCAGGAGAGCACTGCCCTCCCTTCCCCTCCCTGCTCCTCAGCTTGACTCTGTGAACTGGGCCCAGGAAGGCGAGGGTTACACAGCTCAGCGGGTAGCTGGTCCTGAGCAGGGCCCCTTCCCCTAGAGTGCCCCTGCCTCCCATTTTGTGGGGCATTATTCATCCTCACTACTTTGTCCTACCCCGAAGGACAGGCAATAAACAGAATAATAAGCACATAAATATGAGCAAAGACAGTCATACAAGCATTCTGATAAACTAGGAATTTGGGCTGATTTGTGATATGAATAAATAAATGAGGACCTAGGGGCACAGTGACCGTGGGGTGGGGTCAGAGAAGGCCTCTGAGAGGGCCCTGGGAGGGTGAGACAGCCCGAGGCTGACCTCAAGAAGAGAAGGTCCAGGTGGTGTCGCTGAGGCTGCTGAGGCGACCTGCTGGGCCAGGAAGGGCTCCCTGGGGTCTCATCCCAGCCCTAGCAGGGGCCCCCAGAGGCTTTCAACAGTGACAGCTGGATTCAGACTCCAAGGCTACAGGAAGGGGTGGAGGTTCAGCGGGCACTTGCAGGACAGGTGGTGAGAAGGCCTGGTCTGGGCCATCATGACCGAGGGTGGGTCTGGTGCGGATGCAAGGGAGCTGAGATTCGGGCAAGGGAGACCGGGGTACAGGGACCCCTGGAGCTGTGCATGGCCAGCAGCAGTGAGGGAAGTGGCTGGGCCTGGCAGGGCAATGAGAGTGATGGGGACCCATGTGGAGCCAGAGGAGCTTCCCTGGGGCAGAGGCCACTGAAGGATGGTGGGGCTGAGCCTCTGCTACGGGGCAAGGTCTGGAGCAGGAGGGCTGACCAGGACCCCACCCCCCACCGTGTCTGCCCTCTGCCCACATGAGGAGTCCCGCCCAGCCTGAGGGCATCCGGCAGCCAAGGGTCACTGCAGTGTCGCTGCCATCCTCACCATGAACCTGGAGCTGCCCAAGGCCGAGATCCGCTCAGCCACCAGGGTGATAGGAGGACCTGTCACCCCTAGGAAGGGGCCACCCAAGTTCAAGCAGCGGCAAACCAGGCAGTTCAAGAGCAAGCCCCCCAAGAAAGGCGTCCAAGGGTAAGCAGGACCTGGGAAGGGGAGCCTCTGGAAGGGCAGAGGTGGTCCCCCAAGCTGCCCGGGAAGAGGAGGTGGAGGCCGGGGTGGGGCTTTGCCACATTCCAGGCCAGGGCCAGGCGGTTCCTGAGGGCTGGGGGAGGGGGTTGTCGCCCACTCCAGGTCCCTCTGCCAGGGAGGTCTGGAAAGCAACCCACTGCCACCCAGAGATTCAACCTCTGCCTCACCTCAGGGGTGTGTGTGTGTGCACCCCGTCCACACTCACCTGTGCACACACAAGCCTGCACAGCCATGTGCACACCCAGAGGCCTGGCCTTGCTTCTCTTCTATGACAAAGCACCAGAGGCTGGGTACTTTATGCAGAAAAGAAGCTCATTAGCTCATAGTCTGTAAGGGTGCAAGTCCTAGGTGGGGCAGGCCCCTCTGTTTCACCTTTGGTGAAGGCCCCATGGCCACCTTGCAACTGGCGGAGGGCCTCATGGTGGGGGCACCCACAGAGGGGTAGATGGGTCACACAGTGAGACAGGAAGCTGAGAGTGGGCAGGGCCCAGGCTCACGCGTGCTTTATGGGATTATAACCGGGTCCTGCGAGAACCCCATTGATCCATGTGCCCGCGTGGCCTAATTGTCCTTCACTGGGCCCCTCTTGCGGCTCCACCACCTCTCAGTACTGATGCACTGGGGACTGGGCCTCCCGCTCGCAGGCCTTCGAGGGACACACCACACCTACACCTCAGCAGGCACACTCACCACAGCCCCCGCTCTGCTCTCCCTCACACCCGCCCACCACCTCGGCCCTCACTTTGGCTTGACTCTCTGGGCAGCCACCCCACCATGTGTCTGTGCAGGGGAAAGACCCCTTCAGCCAGCACAGCAGCAGGAAGGCTCGGTCCTGACCTCACCACCCTCCTGACCACTCCTCTGTCTCTGCAGGTTTGGGGATGACATCCCTGGAATGGAAGGCCTGGGAACAGGTAAGAATCCTGAGGAGCCCCCCTGTGCTCCCAGCCTCCCCTGCTTACTACTCAGGGTGCTGCCCGTTTCTCCCCCAACATCAATCCTCACTCCCCACGAGCGAGGGTCCTATGGGGTAGGTCCAGCAGCATGAGGACCAGGAGGAACCCTTGCTGCCCTGGTCGAAAGGTCCTCCTTCCCCAGCTTCTCCCTCAGACTGGTATATCCTGGGGAGGGCCTGCACCCAGGGTAGGTGCTCTTACTGGGCAAGTCAATGGCCTCCTCTTGAGATGTGGAAAACAGGACCAGGAGGTGGGGTGGCCCCAGGGCCATGCCCCCTCTCTGACCACGACCCTCCTGCAGACATCACAGTCATCTGCCCTTGGGAGGCCTTCAACCACTTGGAGCTGCATGAGCTGGCCCAGTATGGCATCATCTAACCAGACAGCTGCCTGGAGCCCCGGACTCTCCAGCCGCCCCACCTGTGAGCCCCATTTAGGGTTCCTGTCCAGAGCCTCCAGTCCTATTTACATCTGGTCTCCAGGGTCCTATGGCTCAGGCCCTGGACACCAGTTACTAGGAGCCCACAACCTCCCCCAGGTCACCCTGCTCACCTTCCAAAGACCCTGGCCCACCCCCTCAGGTCTGCAGGTGGCCCAGTCCTGGGCTCCCCCACTCTTTGTGGCTGGAAGGCACACAGGAGTGTCCCCCACACTCCCGTGCCCTGACCGCCCCTCCCAGCTGGATGGCCCAGGGTGGGACATGGTGGGTCGGAGTCCTCAGTGTATATGGTGAGATGAGCTCCCTCCACTCATCGCACCAAACCTTCTAACATGGCCCACCTTGCTGTCCCTGTTTCAAAATAAATTAGTGTCTCCTTGCTTGTCTGAGGCATGTTGGGGAGTACCGGCCTGAGGTGAGGACACACGGAGGAAGATGCAGGGCAGTGGGCAGTGGGGGTAGGATGGGCTGGCCAGGTGGAAGGGGCACAAAACCCATGGATCACATACCCCAGTTACAGAGCCTCGGCAATACAGCACATGAATTAGGCCACACCCCACCATCTCCCAGTGGCCACAGTCAGCAGTGAGTGCATGTGGGCGGCCAGGTAAGGTGGGACTGGCCTCATACCATGGGGTAGGAGCTCATCTCCCTACGTGCCAGGCAAGGAAACTAAGGCACAGAGGTCAGGTCAGGGAGCCCATGCTCCTGCCAAATGTGTGCCCACCATGACCTGGGGACCCCATTCCTGACACCACACGGGAGCAAGTCACCTGCACACACCCGTGCAAGCTCTGCCGGTGGTGCACTAGGGGGCCCAAGTGCTCCTGACCAGGGTGGCCGCATCTTTCCATAGGAGCCATCGGTGATTCTGGGAAGGGCCCTCTGGTTCTGCTCACCGGACAATCACAAACGGCCACACTGAGCCTGGAGATGAAGTCAGAGGGGGGCTGCCCTCTGGGACGGGGAGCCTGGATGGCTGGGACTTCCCCATCTTGAGCATAGTGTAAGGATTCCTCACGTGGCCCCAAGTTGGCAGCTTACCACAGGAGTGGTACAATGTACCATTCTCCGGTGGTCAATGTACCCTCCTCCCTAAAATCCATTCTGGCAAGAGAGGCATTGGCCTCACCCTCAACCCCACCACAGGCTGGGAAGGGGAAGGTGGCCCCAGAGAGGGAAGGGGCCCCTACAGGTGAGGAAATGAGGGGCTGGGAGCTGACCAGAGGCAGATCACGTCCAGGAACCCCCGACTTGTGCTCTTCACACCAGCCAGATGGGAAGCAGATGCGGCCAGACACAGACCACGATGGCCTTTGCAAGGAGCAGGGGGGAGCTATGTGGATGCTCAAGGAAGCCAGAGTAACCTCAGATAGTGATGCAAAATGGATTGTAGGGCTTGGGAACAATGGGCAGGAAGCAGGTACAGGGTGGAGGGGGAGAAGGCTCAGGATGAATTACTTGGACTACTCTACACACACATGCCAGGCCAGCCAGGGGAAGCCCAGAGCCCCGCCTGTACCTTGGCCTCTCCCCCCTTGGCCTCTCCCCCCTTGGCCCTGCCCAGTGGGGAAAGCAGCATAGGCAGCTCCATGCTCAGGGAGGGCCTGGGCCAGGGTCCTCTGCTACCTTTTGGGCAGCTAGGGTCCTCAGCAGCAGGGTGGCCAGCAGGAGCTCAGCCCCCTGGACTAGCACAATGCCAATGGCACAGCCACCCATGGTCTGGATGTTCCCAAGCATCCACTGCTGCAGCCTGGGGCTGCAGCCCTCCAGGTATACGACTTGCCCTGCTGCCACCTGATCCAGGCGTAGTACCCCGAAACCGCACTGGGTGTTCGCTGAGGCTCCATCTTCCTGAGGGTTGATACAGCAAGAGGCAGGAAGGCTGCAGGCCTGCACCCCTGGAGAGCTGCAGTTGAAGTACCTGCAGGGCACATGAGGCTCAGGCTCTGGGGCAGGCCACTGTCTCACCCACCTGCAGACTCATGGCTACACATACACAGACATACACACACTCATGCACACCCACACTTTCACGCCCACATTTGCATGTGCACTGAGGTGTACACACTCAGGCAAGGACATAAATACACATGAACATACATGAGCTTCCCACATGCTTGTGCATGACACAAGGGAAGTAGGAAGCACGCAGTGAGATGGCTGAAGGAGGGATGAGGGTTTGATGAGGGCCGTAGGAAGCCCTCACTCTGCAGACGTGGGTCTGTTGGAGCAGGCAGAGCTGCGCTGGGAGAAGGTGACAGCCGGGCAGGTGCTTCTGAAGGGGGTGGGGGTCGCCATGGGAAGAGGCAGCATTGAGCTCGACAAAGGGCAAGGGGGCTGGGAGGAGTCCTAGATGGGTAAGGGGCTCTGCTTCTGCTCATCACAGGCCTTCCTGACTGCGGGGGCCTCAGCTGGCCTTGGCCTTCTGTGGGTGCCTAGGGCCCTCCCTGCGTGTGTCTCTCTGGACCCTGGGATGCAGACCTGCAGGCAGGTCCCAAGCTGCCCTCACAGCTGCTGTCTCCAGCAGCACCCCGTGCACTCCACTGTGTGCCTAGAACCTGGAGGGGCCAGCACATTTTAGCAACAGTTGGGAGCAAATGGCCAGTCTCGTCTGATTCCATCTCTTGTGGCTAGCTGGGCTTGAAGGCTTCAGGAAAGAAGCCTGCTTGCTATTTATTTATTTATTTATTTATGAGACAGGGTTTCGCTACGCAGCTCAGGCTGCCCTTGAACTCACTATGTAGCCCAAGCTGGCCTCAAACTCACAGCAATCCTCCTGCCTCAGCCTCCTGGGTGCTGGGATTGCAGGCATGTACCACCATGCCCAGCAAGAAGCATATTTTTTGTCCTAGGTGTCACCGGAAGGACAGAAGCTGCTCAGGTGTCTGTGTGTGGAGAGTAAATTGCCAAACATGTACTGCACTGAGGAGCTGGTGGGGGCAGCTCAGTGCAAGGGCACTTGCCTAGTGAGTGTGAGGCCCTGGGTTCCATCCCCAGCATCACAAAAAAGAAAAAAGAATAATTATGTCCCCAAATAGACAATGGGTTTTTTTGTTTTTTGTTTTGTTTGGTTTTGGTACTGGGGATTGAACTTGGAACCTTGCACTTGCAAGGCAGGCGGTGGCACCACTGAGCTAAATCCTCGGCCAGACAATGTTTAAACGCACACATGCACACATGCATTCACGCAAAACAGTGGTTCATAATTCAGTATGATGTCCTGAACTAACCTAACTTATTTTTATTTGACATTGAAATGTCCTAGCTGATGAAAAATAAAAGGTTTGGTGGTTTTTTTTCTTTTTTGGTACCAGGGATCGAACTCAGGTCCTTGCCCTTGTGAGGCAGGCGGCGGCACCACTGAGCTAAATGCCAGGCCCTAAGACAATGTTTTTTTAAAAAAAATAGACAATGTTGGTTTTTTGGTTTTTCTTGTTTTTTTGTTTGTTTGCTTGTTTTTGGTACCAGGGACTGAACTCAGGTCCTTGCACTTGCAAGGCAGGCAGCGGAACCACTGAGCTAAATCCCTGGCTGGTTTGCTTTTTTTTTTTTTTTCTTTTGAACTTGCTAGGACTAATGACTGGAATCGATAGCTTACTGTGATACTGTTTGAAGGGTTAATGAAAAATTTTTTTTTTTTTTTTGCTTTGGTTTTTGAGACAGGGTCTCACTACAAGGTTCAGGCTGGCCTTGAACTCATGGCGGGCCTCCTGTCTCTGCCTTTCCATTGCTGGGATTATAGGTGTGGGGCACCATGCCTGGCAAAAAATGTGACTTTATAAATCCACTGGCTTGGCTTCTCCATTAACATCCCTGTGTTCCCTTGGGTCTGGCTGGAAGGAGGGCAAAGCCTGGCCCCAAGAGTTGCCCAAAAGGGCAACCAGCCCTTGATCCAGCCCCTGAGCCTGCAGAGCAAGGAAAGGCAAGTACTCCAGCACCTCATGGGTGGCTGTGCACATCTCTGTTGTGTCTATGTCTGTATGTGTGTGAATGTATCCCTAGGAGAGCATGCTTGAGTATGAGACTGTTCTGTGTGTGCATGTGCATGCATACTCATGAAACCCACCAGTGAGTGTGGGCACATGTGTGTCCATGCAAGTGCACAGGCACCTGTTAACATCTGCACATGCGTGCACATGTGAGTGAACATGTGGCTTCCCGGGCTGCCCCTTTTCTTGCTCACCCCAGACTCACAGGTTCTGCTGCCAGTCCTGGTAGGACACTGTCCCGCAGCACTGCAGCCCCAGCTGGACTTGGTCAAGGAGGAAGTGCAGGTCTGGGTCATCCTGGTAGTGGATGATGGCTACTTGCAAGGTGTGCTCCAGGGCATCCTGTAGGGAACCCCAGAGGGCCACTAACAGGGCCCCTGCAAGCGCCTCAAGCACCAGGAGGCCGAGGATGGCCCCGCAGAAGCAGCGAAGGAGGCTACTGCTCTCACAGAGGGCTCCCAGGCAGCCGGCCAGACTCACGATGCTGACCACTAGCCCACCAAGCACCAGCCCCAGCATGGGGTCTGGTGGCAGGACTGTTCCCAAACTACTTCCCAGAGACCCTTTGACAGCCAGGCCCCAGAGCCCTACGGCCAGGGCCAGCAGGCCCAGCAGGGAGAAGAGGAAGTTGGAGAGGAAGATCAGACACTTGATGCAGCTGGTCCCCATGGGGAGGGAGGCAGCAGGGCCTTCCCTCCAGGCCTGGTGCTTGGCTCCAGGAGCACAGCAGCAGCAGATCCAGATCCCAAACTTGTCTCCCCCAGGTGCTGGACCTAAGTGGTTTGGTGTGGCTGGGCTGTCCATGGAGAGGGGCGGCCCCTGGCCTACAGCATCCTGCAGAGGGAAGGGGAATCAGAGACCTCACCAGTGAGATCCTAGTCACTCAGACCCTGTGACAATCAGGGCCTGCAGACGTTGCTGTGTGGGCCCAGCCTCCTTTATTTTATCTATCTATATATCTATTTATTTATTTATTTATTGGTACCAGGGATCGAACTCGGGACCTTGCACTTTCGAGGCAGGCGCTGGAACCACTGAGCTAAATCCCGGGCCCCCAGCCTCCTTTAGAACAGGATGATAACCACACCCTGCAAGGTCTGTGATGAAAACCGAGAAGGCAGTGCTTGATAAATGTTCCTCTCCTGTCCTCCATCCCTGAGGTGTAGAAGGGCCCACTGTGGTCTTGCCTTCCTGCAGCGCAGGAAAGTGCAAGCAGGACACTTTGTCCTCGTCCCAAACGGGTCTGCTAGGGTCAGTCTGTAAGGACCCGAGTGCAGTGGCAGTGACCACGTGTAGCTACAGAGGGGCTCCTCACCTAGCCCAGGAGGTATGGCTGCCTCCCCTCTGAAACCAGTCTGATGTTCTGGGACCCAGCCAGACAGCTCCACTAGCCATGCCCTCAGGAGAGCAGACACCATGCTGGGCCCTGCAGTGGAAGTTGCAGGAAGGGACTGGAGGGGGCACCAGGAGACCAGGAAGGCCATCTGGAGCAGGCAGGTGTGGGGAGGAGGGATGCAGAGAGAGGGGCAGCTCCACAGGTACTCGGTTTGCTCAAAACAGTGTGATGTGGGGGAGAGTTCAGAAGCTGGGGCAGGGCGGGGATTTAGCTCAGTGGTTTCGCCGCCTGCTGTGCAAGCGCAAGGACCCAAGTTCGATCCCCGGTACCAAAAAAAAAAAAAACCAAGAAGCTGGGGCAAATGCTCAAGCAAGGCTCCCCTTTCCACTCGGAAGATGGTGCCCCTTCCGCCAGGGGCTCTCTGACTCTGCATTGAGGCTTCTTTACTCCAAATTTGGAGCAGAGGCCAGGAGGGCTATCAGCCCCTGGCCCAAACAAATCACCAGGAGCAAATGGACAGGCTGCCAAGCCCAAATGGCCAGATTGGGACTGTCAGAGGCCATGGATGTCCATAGCCTTCACCCTTTCCTGCACCCTAGCACTAGGGCACTGGGCTGGGGTGTGGCTCAGTGGTGGCAGATTTGTGTAAAACCCTGGATTCAATCCCCAATCTTAGCAGCTTGTCCATTGCACCCACACCAACCTAATGGAAAGCCCCAGCACAGAGCAAGGCTTGGGGTGGGGCTAGGGTGGGGTGAGAGCCCAGCCCAGGGCCTGCCCTGGGGCTTCAGGGCTGGGGAATATCTCCCAGCTGGTGAGGCCACCCAGCCTGGCTTACCTTCGGCAGCAAGGGGCTCCATTCCCCCTCCTCCATCCTCTCATGGGAAGAGGAGCCCTCAGCAAAGGCCCGGAAAATGACTGGTTCTCTCTGGCTGGGGCTACGGGCCCTGGCCTGCTCTGTGAGCTGTGCAGCTCAGGATGGGGGCAGCTGCAAGCGCTACCCACACTAGAGTCACGGTAGGGTCATGTGAGCAGTCACATTTTAGGGTTTAAGGCGGTCCCTGCTTGTGGAGATGCAGACAGTTTCTTGTCTGCCCCTCGCTTTTGGCCTTGGCCCTGGGACTTTCCAAAGTGCTGCACATGCACCCCTTGGGGAGGGCTGACAGTACTCACTCCATGGCCATCTCTGCAGGGCCACAGCGTGGGCCTCAGCCTTGCAGTAGCAAGGTTCAGTAGCAGCTCCACCAGCAAGCACCTCAGAGTCAGGCCCACATCAGCTGGTTCACAATAACAATCCTAAGAATGCACCAGCAGCCTGAGGGCCGAGTTATTCTCCCAGTTTCTTCACTGCAAGAATGAAACATAGGGGCCGGGGATTTAGCTCAGTGGTATCACTGCCTGCTGTGCAAGGTCAAGGACCCGAGTTCGATCCCCGGTACCAAAAAGAATGAAACATAGTATCTACTTGTCAGGTCGCATCTTTCCTGGTATCTAGGCTTGGGGCTCCCCCACCTGCCCTTCTGAGCTTCTGAGAAGTTCGTCACAGTCACCTTGGGTCCTCATTCTGCAAGGACCCAGGCCACACGGCTGTCAGTGCTGGGTCCCCACCTGCCATCAACTCTGTGGCCTTGTACAGACCCCCTCCCCAGGCCTCGCTGGCTGCATGTGGGATGCGTGTGAGATGTGAATATATTGTCAACAGACATGTCCTCTGGGCAAACGAGATGTTGAGCATATGTATATAATGTAATTTCATACAATTTACATATATATTTGCAATGCTAGGAGCAAACCCAGGGCTTCACACAAGCTAGAGAAGTGCACTACCAACGAACACTTTTCAGTCCTTTTTATTTTATTTTTTGAAATAGGGTGTCACTAAATTGCTCAGGCTGGCCTCAAACTTTTGATTCTCTTGCCTCAGCCTCCTGAATGCTGGGCTACAGGTCTGTGGCACAATACCCAGCTTCCCTGTGGTAATTTTTATGGCATCCCTAGCAAACTGATACCACTAACATAATTTAAAATATTTTTTAAACCCACAGTGAGATCATAAAGACTCAAAGGCAAGCAAGGTATAATAGCGTATGTGTTGCCATGCAAGGGCTACAGCAAGACCACACTAGGAGACGTCCCAAAAAAGAGAGCCTGGCCCTTGTGTATCAGGGATGTTTGGATATGAGAGATGCAGAAAGACGAGAGGCCATTTTCTTCAATGAGATGGCCTTTAAAGTATGGTCAAAATCATTCTTTGAGCCGGGGATTTAGCTCAGTGGTTCTGCCACTTGCCTTGCAAGCACAAGGACCCGAGTACGATCCCTGGTACCAAAAAACAAAATCATTCTTTGAGAGGCCTGGGGACCTGTGGTCCTTTGCTGCCACTGCTGCCTGTTCTCTGGACTATCCCACTGGCCTTCCTGTCTGTCTGTCCTCCATTTGGCCTCAAGAAGGAGCCTTCAAACGTGGATCTCAGCCATTTCTCCTCTCAGCCTCCACAGGCTTCCCTCCGTGTCTAGAATAGAGTCAAAGGCTTTCTGTAGCAGATGTGGCTCCTCCTGATACAGTACCCCAACTGTATTCCAGCCTCACTTGCCACTTGTCCCCGGATCACCCAAGTATGTCTCAGACTCCTGGACCTTTGTACATGCATTTCCTTCATCTTACACCATTCCTTTTTCAGGTACCGAATAGATCACTTCATCTAGGACCCTGCTTCAACCTCCCCTCCCGAGAGGTCTTTCTTGACCATCTTTTTTATGTGTGTGCGCTAGGGATTCAACCCAAGGCGTCAAGCAAATGCTATACCTCAGTCCTGAGTATCTAATTTTCAAACAGTTCTCCCTGCTTTGGTTGCCTGGATAGCACTTAACAAGACCTGCCATCACATCTTTTCATGTTGATGTAAATTCCATGAGGGCAGAGTTCTGTCTCCCTTCTCCTTCATCCTCAGTATAAGAGCCATGGCACACACAAAGTGAACAGTTGGTAAATCTTTGTTGATGGAGCAGATAAGCCAAATTTGAATAACTGCTCAAGCGTAGGTTATAAACAGCATGTGTTACCCAAACTGACACTGTGACAGCAATTCAACAAAATTTAAAAAAAGTTAAGAGGTGGGGATGGGGAGGAAATAAAAATTACAATTTCCTCACTTTTAAATGAATGTAATCTGAAATCGAACTACGAAGTTAAACTGGGTAGCTTTTAGTTTCCTGGAGATTTTCATAACTTTTGTTTTCACAATCATAGGTGAGCTGCTTACAGAACTCCCAGGGCCCTGTGCGAAAGGCGGAGCTCTTTGGTGGAATATTAGAGCGCGTCAAGAGAGCAGCACCTTGAGCCAGCCCCTGGCCTTCCCAGCGCCAGGTGCACGGCGCTGAAGCTGGTCCTAAGGCACGTATGTCATTCAAAATGCAGTTTAAACTCGTGGGGATGTTATTTTCCCCAGAATCCACCAACTAACTGCATTTTGGGGTGAAATTTCGGATGCTTGTCTCTTCTGAGGGTTTATTGGCAGGGCCCGGGGTTGAAGAAGAGCTGCCTCTAGTCCCGCACAGCCTCAATCCACAAACCCCGCTGCTTCACTGGGCCTGGCGGTGCGGAGGCGGCTCCCGGACCGGGCGGAGGCGCGCTCGGCGGCGCCGCGTGCGCATGCTCGTGGCCGTTGGCTGGGTCGGAACCTGGTTTCAGGGCTGCGCAGCCGGAGGACCGTGTTGGGCGACGCACCGGACGTTGGCTGCTGGAGGAGCCGGGAGACGAAGCTGGAGCGGCGGTGGCGGCGACGGCGGGAGGCTGGGGCTGAGGCCGGGGCCGGGGCTGTGAGGCCCGTGGGGCGACAGGCGGCGGCGGCGGCGACCCGGGGCCCGAGTCCGGAGCCAGGAGCGGCCGCCATGGCCGAGAGCATCGTGAGTGCGGCGGCCTGGCGGGAGCGAGACGCCGGGATGAGGCAGCAGATTTGCCGGCGACCTGGGCGGGCCGCGCGCGACGTCCCCGACACCGGCCGGCTCCTCGGCGCTCGGCCTCCGCTCGTGTCGGTCCCTGCCCTGACCGCGCGAGGGGGACAGGCGGGAGGAGCCCCTTCGCGTCCATCTGCCGGCCCTGGGCTCCCCCGAGGCCCGGAGTCGGTGGCATCCTTCTCTCCTGCCCTTTGGGCCCGCTCCTGTCTTCTCCCTCATCCCGGCAAGGCCTCGTCCTGAGTCACTCCAGGAGAGCTGTCGAGGCGCGGGGCAGCGTTGGGGAACACCCTCTCCCTCCGAGGAAGCGGCCGGGACGGGGTGGGGGCAGACATCAGCCTGGCGGGGTTGGGCTCTTGTTGCGGGGAAAACTTCCTGTTTTAGAAGTAGTATGGTGACCAAGGTTGATGTCACTTTTACCTGACAGTAGAATTGTCACACTCTCCCCCCGCACAGTGCAAAGCATCAGGGAAAGATCAGAGAGAATCACTTGCGGAGTTTCCCCTCTAAAGTAAATATGGCTGGAGGAAAAACTGACAGGCTGGTTGGACGGAAGACTTGGTCAACGTTGAGGAATATTTGAGATTTCTTGAGCAGCAAAGCAGTAATAGGTGAAGAGTAATGTGCATATGAAAGCCAAGGGCAGGTCTCTTAAGTTGTGCCGAGTGTCCTGGACTGCTTCGGTGCTTCTTTCTGGGTGCTTTGGGTTTCCAGGAAAATCCAGCTCTCGCATTTAAGGCTTTTCTCTGAGGGCTTCCCCTCCTTCCTCAGTGCTCCTTTCAGGGTTCCTCCTGTCCTGTCTCTGTTTCCCAGCCTGGAGGAGAGTGGAATGAATACGCCCTCAAGAGAAACCTCAGGAGGGTTGACTCCTATTAAAAATAAAAGTCACTAGCCCAGCATGGTAGTGCACACCTGTAATCCCAGCACTCTGGAGACTGTGGCAGGAAGATTGCTGTGAGTTCAAGGACACCCTGGACTACCCAGGGAGATCCTGTCTCAGAAAGAAAGAAAAAAAAAAGAAAGAAAGAGAAAGCTCATCATTAGAATCTTGTCTAGAAATAGATAAGGAATCACCTCAGAGCTGCCTTCATCTGGGTGTGGTGGTGCATGTCTGTAATCCCAGCACTCGGGGAGGCTGAGGCTGGAGGATCTCGGGAGCTCAAGGCCAGCCTGGGCTACATGTCAAGACCCTTTCTCAAAGAAAACCAAACCAATTTCCTACTTTAGTAATTTTTTTTTGGTATCAGGGACTGGTCTTGGGTCCTTGGGCTTGCGCAGCAGGCAGCGAAATCACTGAGCTAAATCCCTGGCCCTCCTACTTTAGTAATTTTTGCTGAGTTAAAGCAACCTTACACAAGTGAGTCCTTCCTCACAGGGCCGTTTCTCACTAGTGTGCATAGGGCTGGGTTTTTCTGGACTGCACTGAGTGGTTAAGTTTCTCTAGTGAGAAATTAAAACAGACCTGAAATTTCAGAAGAAAAAAAAATTTTTTAATTTAGACAGAGTTCTCTTTAAAAAATTCTTTGTGTACTTGGGCCAGGGATTTAGCTCAGTGGTTCCACTGCCTGGCTCGAAACCTCAAGGTCCTGAGTTCAATCCCTACCAAAAAAAAAATAAATAAAATTTTGGGGGGCCATGTTTAGGGCTCATGTTTTCAATCCTGATTATTTGAGAGGCTGAGGCAGGAGGATCACAAGTTTGAGACCAGCCTGGGTGATTGATTGATTGAGACAGGTCTTGCTATGTAATCTAGGCTGGCCTTGAATTTACTATGTAGCCCAGGCTGTCCTCGAACTGAAGTGATTCTCCTGCCTCAGTCTCTTGAGTGGTGGGGATTACAGATGTGCACCACTGTTCCGGCTAGCTGGAGGGATTTAGTGAGACAATGTTTCAAAAAATAAAAAAGGTCTGGGAGTGTAGCTTAGTGGTAGAAGGCTTTGGCCTAGCATGTGCAAGGCCCTGGGTTCAGTCCTCAGTACAAAAAAGAGAAGAAAAGTTTTATGTGGGGATAATGGTTTGTATCTTTCCGGTTCTTCAACTCCAAAACATGTCAAGAAGTTTTCTATGGTTTTCCTTTTCTTTGAGATATGGTCTTTCTGTGTTGCCAAGGCTGGCCTGGAACTCCTGGGCTCAAGCAATCTTCCTGCTTCAGCCTTCCAAGTAGCTGGGACCACAGTCATGTGTCACTGTGCCTGACTTAACTTTCTCTCCCTCCCAGTCCTTCCCTCACTCCTTCCTTCTCTTTTCCCCTCACTTTCTTCTTATTTATTTTTGGTGCTGGGAGTTGAAGCAGGGCTTTCTCACTGAGCTATATATTCTTAGCCCTTTTAATTTTTTAAATTTTGAGATAGGCTCTTGCTACATTGCTAAGTTGTTCAGCAATTTGCCATCCTCCTGCCTCAGACTCCCTGCCTCAGTGCTAGGATTAATAGGCAAGTTCCACCATGCTTGGATATAATTTTCTTATAAATAGGGAAACTTAAATTACTGAGAGGCTGTGTGTCCATATGGACAGGTCTGTCTCTAGTGGTACATTTTATTTTGTAGCCTATATTAAAAGCCAAGCTGGAACTTTCCTTAGTACAAGTTACATTCCTCTTTTGTTAAGTCCTGACTCCTGTGCACTGTGGGAGAGGATGGCTTGTGCTGCAGGACTGTGCAGTGTGGCCCATGACCCTTTCCTGTTTTTCGTGGTCAGTGGCAGCCACATTTGCAGTAGGTCCCTTCCAGAGAGATGCAGAGCCATTCACTTTTTTTAACATGCCTCAGTTTTGCAGACAGATTTTGGAACAAAATAAATGGAAGTATTTACCTAATGTTGTGTATTATGAAAACATTTTTCCTAGGTATTGACTCCATAATAAAGAGCACTAGAAATCAGAAGTCAAAAGAATTAATTTGTATTTCCACTTAACATGTATGAATGAGAATGAGCAAAGTGAGAAAAAGTCATACAGTATGTTACATTCTTTAAAAATTGGGATATTTTGGCCAGGTGTGGTGGCACACTCCCAGCATTTGGGAGGCAGAGGCAGGAGGATCACTGTGGATTCCATGCCAGCCTGGGCTACATAAGTTCAAGGCTCATCCGAACTACACAGTGAGACCCAGTCTCAAACCAAACCAAACCAAACCCTGAAATTGGGATATTCGTAAGGATTATTCAGAACAAAATTTTAAAAGCTGAGAAAAAAAGAGGCAGAGCCAAGTGATAGTTATTAGAAAATGAGAGTCATGCAATTTTAGGAAAATGTAGGTTATTAAAAATAGAAAAGGGGCCCAGGGATTTAGCTCAGTGGTGCCACCGCCTGCCTCCCAAGCAGAAGGTCCCGAGTTCGATCCCTGGTACCAAAAAGAAAAAAAAAAGTTCATTATTTCTAGGAAGTACTTCCTTGGGTTGGGGATTTAGCTCAGTGGTGCTGCTGCCTGCCTCCCAAACGCAAGTTCCCGAGTTCAATCCCTGGTACCAAAAAAAACCCAAGTAGACAAGATTCAGTAGCTGTATGTCACTGTGGTGTTTTGTGGTGTATCAGTGGACAATAATCTTTTTCTTTTTGCTGTACATGAACTTGGCATTGAAGTATACTGTTACCCCTATTTTGAGACAAGGTCTGGGTAAAATTGCCCAGATTGGGCTCAAACTCACAGTCCTCCTGCCTCAGGCTCTCAGAATGGCGGACTTACATGTGTGTGCCCCCATGCCCACCAGAAATTTTTTTTTTTTTGGTACCAGGGATCAAACTTGGGTCCTTGGGCTTGCGAGGCAGGTGGCAGAACCACTGAGTTAAATCCCCAGTCCAGAAATCTTTTTTTGGGAAGGGTACCTGGGATCGAACTCGGGACCTTGCACTTGTGAGTGGAATCACTTGCAGGCGGCGGAACCACTGAGCTAAATCCCCGGCCCTCAGAAATCTTTCTTAAAACAATGTCTTGTGACATTTTTCCATCTCATAGTGTCAAGTACAGCACACTATCAGGAGAAACTACAATATGAATGTTTTCTGACATAATCCTGTGTGTCTTCCCTCACACTCTTCAGGTGGTTGGGCAGTAGCTTACTGGTTTATAGCAGGGGTGCTAGTTCCTGGTCCCTGACTACAGAAGAGTTGGTACAGTGGCTGGAATAGTAGCACACCCTCAGAAGGGCTCCAGCAGTGTAAAAATCAGGCCCTAGAGAGTGGGCACCTTGTCTAGTAGTCTTGCAGGGCTGGCAAGAAAAAAAAAATTTCGGGGCCGGGGATTTAGCTCAGTGGTTTTGTCGCCTGCTGCACAAGTACAAGGACCCAAGTTCGACCCCTGGTACCAAAAAGAGAAAAAGAAAAAAAATTTTTTAAGCTCCAGTACAGATTCCATGATATTAAAGACCTTTATTTCTTTATAGTTTTAATCTTTCTACTAAAAGTAACAAATTAGCCAGGGACTTAGCTCAGTGGTGCCACACCTGCCTCCAGAGTTTGATTCCCCAGTACCAAAAAAAAAAAGAAGGAACAAATTAGATTTTCTGTGATCCTTTTGTGTCAGTCTAATTTAATGTCTGTGTATAGATTGTGGAACAAAATTAGATTTTTTATTTTTGGCTTTTTTTTTTGGTACCGGGGATGGAACTCAGGTCCTTGTGCTTGCACAGCAGGCAGCGAAACCACTGAGGCAAATCCCCAGCCCCATATTTTTGGCTTTTTGAGATAAGGTCTCAGAAGCCCAGGCAGGCCTCAAATTCAGCGATGTTCCTGCCTCAGCCTCCTGTCTGGCTTGAGATTGCTTTGTAAAGAACCCAGTCACTTTGCCAGCTGCCTTGCAAGCACAAGGTCCTGAGTTCGATCCCTGGTCCAAAAAAAAAAAGAACCCAGTCACTCACGATTCATTTTTTATTTTATTTTATTTTTTTGGTACCAGGGATCGAACTCGGGTCCTTGTGCTTGCGAAGCAAGTGGTGGAACCACTGAGCTAAATCCCTGGCTCAAGTCACTCATGATTCATGATGGGGTTTTCTGTTTTGTTATATTTTTCTGTAAGTTTGAAGTAGGAGAGGGGAAGGATTTCAGATACTCTTTATAAACAGTGACTAATCACCGGTTTTATTTTCCTTTGTGAAACGGTTAGGATTTTGAGCCATGCATTGAAGAACCTTGACCCTCACTTCTCCACTAGAAAGATTGAGCTGGGTATTGAAGGGGAAGGTGAGGTTTGGCTTTTGGTTACAGTGATCCTGATGACAAATGCCTGCAGATGTGAGCCTTAATAACAGATCAAGACAGGGCTGGGGATTTAGCTCAGTGGTTCTGGTGCCTGCCTGGCAAATGCAAGGTCCTCAGTTTGATCCCCAGTACCAAAAAAAAAAAAAATCTTAATAATAGATTAGGACTGTGTTGGGCTGTGCAGTAAAGTATCGTTTTGTTTACAACAGATAATTCGTGTCCAGTCCCCAGATGGGGTGAAGCGGATTACAGCCACAAAGAGAGAAACAGCTGCAACATTTTTGAAAAAGGTACCTGGGGTGTGGACATTTTAACTTTTGGGGTCTTGTTTACTCCCATTGTGCATTTTCTTTTGCTCATGTTCCCAAGTTGTCTCTCTATTTTTTTTCTTTCCTTGGTACCGGGGATTAAACCAGGGACCTTGTGCTTGCAAGGCAGGCGCTGATACCACTGAGCTAAATCCCTGGCTCCCAAGTTTTCTCTTGCATGGCTTTTCTTCTATGGTTGGGTTGGATTAGTGCTGGATCAGGTGTTTGTCATGACTGAATGCTGCTTAAAATTAGAGCACCAAGAGGCCAATGGTAGTTGTCAAGTTATTTTGCAGGAGTAATATTTCTGAGTAAAAATTTGGAGAGAATTAAGCTGGGTGTGGTGACATGCATCTATAATCTCAGGACTCTGGGAGGCTGAAGCAGGAGTATTAAAATTTCAAGTCCAGGGCCGGGGATTTAGCTCAGTGGTTTCACCGCCTGCTGCACAAATGCAAGGACCCAAGTTCGATCCTGATACCAAAAAAAAAGTTCAAGTCCAGCCTGGACAATTTAACAACTTAGCAAGAACCTGTCTCTAAATTAAAAATAAAGGGCCGGGGATTTAGCTCAGTGGTAGGGCTGGAGATGTAACTCAGTGTGGAGGCTCTGGGTTCAATCTCCAAGTACTATACCAGGAAAAAAAAAATTGAAGAAAACTGTAGTTGTCCATCAAAAGGGAATTGTTACAAAGATGTATAGAATGATGCCACTGTAGTTAAAAAAATGAAAGCCACACACACACACTCTGTGGGCGCAGAGAGTGATATGAAAGAGCACAGGCCAGACCCTCAGTGGGTAACACTGGATAAGAGGCCCAAGGACGGGGAGTGGCTTTTGTACTTCATTCCACAGGTCAGCAAACTGTGTCCATGGGCTAGCCTCCTGTGATTGTAAGTAAAGTTTTATTGGAGCCAGTTGTGCTTGTTGATTTTTGTGTTGCCTGTGGCTGCTTTTGAGCTGCAAGCACATAGAGGTGATGGTTTGTGTAGAAATGGTATGACCTGTGAAGCCAGAAATACTGCCATGCTCAACACAGAAAATGGTTGGCATTTCCTATTTAACATATTTTATAATAGCAAAGGCATTACTACCTTTGTAATGATAAAAATGTATTGCTTTTCTTTTTTTTTTTGGTACCAGGGATAAAACTGGGGATCTTGCACTAGTGAGGCAGGCGGCAGAACCACTGAGCTAAATCCCCAGCCTCTGTGTTGCTTTTCTTATTTCAAAGCAAGAACAAATTATAGATAATGTTTAATATTTAATATATACAAGAATAAGAGGGAATCTTCAGTGTCATTTAGTTCAGTCCTTTTTGTTTTTCACAAACGTAGAGAGTTGAGGCTGAAGGAGAGGTTTGCTGTGGATCTCACTAAGCCTGTAATCTGTAGGTGAAGCCACAATTTATTTTGGAAATTTCGTTTCTAAAAGACATTTGCTATCACGATTCTAGTCCCGTGCTTAAGAAACAATATTTGTAAGACTAAAATGAAACCTGGAGCAGTGATATGTGCCTGTGCTCTCAGCTGTTCAGGAGGCTGAGGCAGAAGGATCCTTTGAGCCTACCAGTTCAAGACCAATCTAGTAACATAGTGAGGGCCTATTTCAAAAAATAAGTAAAACAACAAAAGGAAAAGGAGATAGATTTAATAGAGGCCAGATTATTTTCTTTCTTTCTTTTTTGGTAGTACTAGGGATTTAATTTAGGCTTTTACCCTAAACTACATCCCTAGTCCTTTTAGTTTTTATTTTTATTTCGAGACAGGATCTCACTAAGTTGCTAAATTCCTCCCTGGGTTTGAACTTGTGATCCTCCTACCTCAGCCTCCCAGAGTGCTTGGATCACAGGTGTGAGCCACCATGCCTGGTAGATAAGATAATTTCTGAGTCTTTAAGATGATTTTTTTTCTGGGTGGTACTGAGGATAGAACCCAAGGCTTCATATGCTAAGCATATACTCTACCACTGAGCTATACCCCCAGTCCTTTAAGATAAAATTTTTTCTTTTTTTGACCATACCGGGGATTGAACCTAGGGATATGCTGCCAATGAGCTACATTCTCAGCCCTTAAAAAATTATTTATTTATTTTTTTGGTAGCAGGGATCAAACTCAGGACCTTGCGCTTTCAAGGCAGGTGGCGGAACCACTGGGCTAAATCCCCGGCCAAAAAAAATTTCTTTTTTTTTTTGGTACTGGGGATCGAACTCGGGACCTTGGTTTCGAGGCAGGCACCGGAACCACTGAGCTAAGTCCCCGGCCCCCCCCTAAAAATTTCTTTCTTTCTTTTTTTTTTTTTTTTTTTGGTACTGGGGATTGAACTTGGGTCCTTGTGCTTGCGAGGCAGGTGACGGAACCACTGAGCTAAATCCCTGGCCCAAAATTTCTTTTTTGAGACAGGGTCAGGTTGCAAAGTTGCCCTGGCTGGGGTCAAACTCAGAATCTTCCTGCCTTAGCCTTCCAGAGTGCTGGAATTACAGGTGTGTGCCACCATGTCTGGCTTCAACTTGTTAACTTGTGGCTCTGATTCTTTTTTCAAACTTTTTTTTTTTTTTTGGTTTATTGAGCCAGGGTCTTGCTGTGTATTCCAGGCTGGCCTTGAATTCAGTATGTAGCCAAGCTAACCTTGAACGCATGGTGATCCTCCTGCCTCAGCCTCCCAAGTGCTGGGATTACGCAGGTGTGCACCACCATGCCCACCTCATTCTTCAGACTCTTAAATGTGTCTGCAGTTTAATCATTTTTCCACAGGACCTTTGCTTTCCATATACTTTTCTTATTTGAATTGACACTTTCATGAACAGTACAGATTTGTCAAGAGAGTACAAGACAATGAGGAATTTGGTGAATGAGGAACAGTTTCTGGGCTACATGGGCATTTTTCCATTGTGTCTTATTCTGTGGCACATTTAGTGACACCTGAGTATTACATTAAATTTCTGTTTTGGGATTTGTTGCAGGTCGCAAAGGAGTTTGGCTTCCAAAACAATGGCTTCTCAGTTTACATCAATAGAAACAAGACTGGAGAGATAACAGCATCATCCAGCAAATCCCTCCACTTGCTGAAAATCAAGTAAGTGCCACTCAGGAGGGCCTCAGAAACGGGGAGGAACCACGACCCCCACAACCCATGTAAGGATCTCTGGATTCATCATATTTCCTCCTTATACCACTAATTAGGGTCTTGTAAACCCCACCATCCAGGGACTGTGTTGCTCGGCAGGTGTGCCCCTGTCATACTAGGTCTGCAGTTACTGTTGAGCAGGTTTTTGTTTTTTGTACCAGGGATCGAACTCAGGACCTTGCACTTTTGAGGCTGGCACAGTGCCACTGAGCTAGATCCCCAGCCCCGAGCAGGTGTTTTTTGTTGTTGTTTTTTTTGAGCAGGTGTTTTTTTTTAATGGAGATGGTACTTCATTCCTGTGTTTTGTGTTTTTTTTGGTACCGGGGATTGAACTTGGGACCTTGCACTTGTGAGGCAGGCAGCGGAACCTCTGAGCTAAATCCCCGGCGAGCAGGGTGTTTTTTGAGGCAGAGTCTCACTGTTAGTTCAGGTTGATCTTGAACTCACCAGGTAGCACTAATTGGCCTTGAACTCGTGGCAATCCTCCTGGCTCAGCCTCCCAGGTGCAGGGACTACAGGCATACGCCACCATGCCCGGCTTGTTGAGCAGGTTTGCTTGAATGTGTGTCACTGTGGAGAAGGTTGTGGACGTGGGTTTGTGTCTGCAGTGGTGTCAGCTGCTATGTTATTCAGCTCTCCTTTTGCAGGGACAAAATACCTGATGGCGGCAGTTTAAATGAGGAGAGGTTTCAGAGTGTTCAGTCCATGGTTGGCTTACTCCAGGACAGAAGTGGCAGAGCTCCTCAGCCTGTGGCAGTCTGGAAGGGGGAACACAGCCTTCCGGGTCATGCCCCAGGGAGCCACCTGCAGCCAGGCTCCACCTCCTAACAGCACTGTCAGCTCTGAGCCCATCAGGATGAAACCACTAATGAGTACACCACCCTTATGGTCTGATCACCTTCCAAAGCCCACCTCTGAGCGCAGGAGACTGGGGGACATGTAGGTTGAATCCAGAGCAGCTGCACACTCAGCCCCTCCTCTGGAGGGAAGGACCTTGATTGCACCCATGTGTAAGAATGACCTGCCTTGTCAGCTCTGCTTGCTTGGAGGGAGAGCTGCAGGGTAGTGGCCCATCGTCATTCCTTTGAGTGGGTTACTTGGGTTAATGACGCTCCCAGCTTGCAGAGACCTCAACCTGCTGCCTGTATGTATAACGCATCACCCATCCAGGGCTGTTTTAGTGCTGCAAGGGCAGAGTTGAGTGATTGTGATAGACCATGTGACCTGTGGAGCTGAGAACATTTGGTTTTTGTTTTTTTGTTTTTTTGGTACCAGGGATCGAACTCAGGACCTTGCACTTGCGAGGCAGGTGCAGTGCCACTGAGCTAAGTCCCCGACCCGAGAATATTTGGTCTTTGCCCCTTTGTAGGACATTTTCTGACTGTCTGCACTGCCTGGGCACCTGGTCACACACCAGCAAGCAGAGCCCATTACTGCCCCTCAGTCCTCAGGCTGTAGACGTCAGGTGCCCTTGGCTGCAGGCAGCACATGGTGGCCACTGTCTGAGGGATTAGGTCAGGATGGTGTGCAGTTGGCTGTGCGCCTGTTTACCAGTAAGAACACGGGGCTGCTCTGGCAGTTGGGTCACTTTTAGCCCACATGCTAGGATACTTAGGGAAAAATTTTATAATTACAGCATTTGTTTATCCTACAGAGATTTATTGGACACCTATTATTTGCTTGCCTCTGTAAGTTAGGTTATTCCTTTCATTGTTTGTGACCATTTCCAGAGTTCCTGAGACCATCTTTCCTTCGAGTTTATGGAGTCATCTTGAGACTCAATCCTCATGAATGTTAGGCGAGTTGGGGGTTATACTTGCTAGCTGTGAGGTTAGGGGCTTTACTTTGCCTCACTCACCTTGCCTTCCTTGTCTGTGAAGGAGAGCAGTGCCTCCTTCAGGTGGGTGCACAGTGCCTGCACCACATGAGCAGGAGTGTGATTGATTGATTGATTGATTTTGGTTTGTTTTTGTTTGTTTGTTTGTTTGTTTGTTTTTTGGTACTGGGGATCGAACTTGGGACCTTGCACTTGCAAGGCAGGCACCGGAACCACTGAGCTAAATCCCCAGCCTGATTTTGGGTTTTTTTTGAGACAGGGTCTCCCTAAGTAGTTCATGCTGGTCCTGAACTCACTATGTAGCCCAGGCTGGCCTCAAACTTGCAGCGATCCTCCTGCCTCAGCCTCCTGAGACCTGAGATTACAGGTGTGCACCACATTTTAAAATTATTTTATTTATTTATTTTTTTGAGACCTACTCTCATTATGTAGTTGAGGCTGGCTTTGAACTCGTGGTGATTCTCTTGAGTGCTGGGATTACAGGTGTGCGCCACCATGCCCAGCATAGCTGTCTTTAGGAACTGTTCTGAGCTAGGTGTGGTGGTGCACTCCTGTAACTCCATCATTCTGAGACAGCAGGGTCGAAAGAGTTCAAGACCCCACAGCAAAAAAAAGGAAAGATCTGTGTGACTTGCCTGGAGTTTCTGCTTGGTTTGTCTGCCGTGGGCTGAGGTTGGTGTTATTGTTCCTGCCTGATGTGAGCCGTGCTTCCTGTAGCTGCAGAATTTGAACATCAACTGTGCACATCACTTCTGCACAGTGCTTGCCATCATCTTTTAAATGGGGTCTCTTCTCCATTTGTGTTACCATTTCAGGGGATACATTTTCCACTTTTAAATACTGTATTTGACTCCCTTTTGTTTTCCTTGTGGTGCTAGAGATTGAATCCAGGGCCTTACATGATAGGCAAGTATTCAGTCACTGAGCTTCACCCCTGCCCCAAATTGTTCATAGTTGGGGATGTGCCATGTGTTGTGTATGCATTGTGTAATATTCAAATCAGGATAAGCATCTCTGTCTCCTCAGATGTCATTTCTTCACTGTGAAAATATTGAACAAGTTTCCTTTGAGCTTTTTGAACTACACAGTGGATTATGGTTATCTGTGGTCGCCCTTCTGGCCAGTAGCACACAGGACTCCTTGCTCCAGTCTGACTGTAACTTGGTACTCATTGACCAGTCCTACCCCATCTCTCCTCCTTGGTGCACTTCCCACAGTCTGGTAACCACTAATCTACTCTCAACTTCTATGGGATCAACCCTGCAATATGAAACCCTTTACATGTGTGTGAGTAAACAGAATTAATCTAGGTGTTCACAGCCTGTGCCCCAGCTTGAGGGGCTGTCAGGTCATGGCCCTTCTTGTCTCACCTCTGCTGGTGTCCATCTCCATTTTCTCCCATTGTTGAGTCTTTTTCCCCCACTTCTATTTATTTTAAAATAAAACAGGTACTGAAGCCCGAGAGGGCATTGTGTGTCTTGATGTATTGTCCCATGTGCACCGTTGCAAGCAGGTGAGGATATTATCCAACTGTCTGTTCCCAGACACTATGATTTGGTCTTTTTTGTGTATATGTGGTACCGGGGATTGAACCCAGGGAGTGCTGAACTATGTTCCCAGCCTTTCTTATTTTGAGAGAGATTCAGTAAAAGTTGCCCAGGCTGGGCTTAAATTGTGACCTTTTTGCCTCAGCCTTCTGAGAAACTGGGAGTACAGGTGTGTGTCCCATGTGCCTGGTCTTTTTTTTTTTGGTACTGGGGATTGAACTCTGGACTTCGTGCTTGCAGGGCAGGCGGCGGAACCACTGAGCTAGATCCCCAGCCCCCATATGCCTGGTCTTGCTTTTAAAAAAACAAAGCAAAACATTCTTCAGCTTCCCCTTCTATCCCTTTCCTTTCTCATTCTCTTTTCGTCTGTCCGTCTGTGTGTCTCTCCCTCCCTCCCTCCTTCCTCCCTCTCTCTTTGCACTACTGAGTATTGAACCCAAGACCTTCACACTGAGCTACATCCTCAGCCTTGTGTATGAGCCTTGCTAAGTTGCTAATTGCCCAGGCTGGGCTCAGACTTGCCTCAGCTTCCCGGAGTTCTGGGACTACAAGTGTGTTCCCCTCTGCCCAGGTTCCTTTCTTTAAGATGTATTTAAGAACTTGCTTACCAGACACTGGATGCAGAGGCCTGATGGACTTGGCTGGGCCCAGCCCTCAGGAGGGATGGTGTGCTGTTTGGTAGGAGCCACAGGGTGTCTGCTTTTCAACCCCTACATCCCTTTTCTTCTGTAAAAAAAGTGAAACAAGGTTGGGCCATGTTGCTTAGCTGGCCCCAAACTAGATTCAGGTGGTTCTCCTGCCTCATCCTCTCAAGTGGTTTTGGCTACAGGTATACACCACCATGGCCTGGCCATTTTTCACTTCTGGATATTGTTTGATTTCTTTTCAAATCTGGTTGTTGATGTTGAGCACTCTCAAGAGGCCATGCTGCTCTTGCTCCTTCCCAGGTTTCTGTTGTGCTCGCCTCAGTTTGTGTCTTGGAATTTCAGCACCCAAATCCTGAGCCTATGTCTCAATTTGTTCATCTGCTTATAGTGGCTTGTTTCCCTTGTATCTTTCTCTCTTTCTC